GGGGCTAGAGCATCCAGGGAGGGATGGAGGGCGGGGCTAGAGCATCCAGGCAGGATGGGGGCGGGGCTGGGGTGTCCAGGCAGGATGGGGGCGGGGCTAGGGCATCCAGGGAAGGATGGAGGGCGGGGCTAGAGCGTCCAGGGAGGGATGGAGGGCGGGGCTGGGGTGTCCATGCAGGATGGGGGCGGGGCTGGGTAGCCAAGTAGGGATGGAGGGCGGGGCTGGGCATCTAGGGAGGACTGGAGGGCAGGGCTTGGGTGTCCAAGGAAGAAGGGAGGGAAGGGTTGGGTGTCCAGGGAGGGATTGAGGGCGGTTCTGGGTATCCAGGAAGGGACGGGTGTGCAGGGCAATCTGCGAGTGGAGCGCGCCAGCTCCAGGACGGACCGGGCGTGGGGAACGGGGTGAGGGAACCTATAGTGGTGCGGGGGAGCAGCTCACCGCAAAGTCGTCAAAGTTGTTGGACCAGTACTCTAGCTGTTCGAAGCTCCCGCAGGACTCTGAGCCATTGGGGGCCAGGCTGGGGGACACCACAGGCCTGCTCACTGGTGGGGACCCCACACCAGAAAGAGCGAGCGGCCGGAGGCCCCACAACACCATCCCGCTACACCTGGGGCCTCACCTGCCGTTTCCAGGGGGAGCCACGACCACGCCCTGGAACAAGTTGATGCCAATGATGGCAAAGATGTAATACACCACCTGGTGGGGGGGGCACGGTCCTTCAGCACCAAAACCCCGGACGTGGTCACCCAGCCCCCAGCCCCACCCCAGCCCTGCAGCAACAAGACACAGTGGATCCGCCTAAGTCCAGCTCATTTGGCAGTCACTGCTGAAGGGGCGACCGGAGGCAACACATCAAGAGGGCACACTGTGGACCGCCTGCCCGGAGAGGGCTCTGCAGTACCCCAGCCATCCCCCAGGGGGCGTCTGGGGGGGGGGTCCAGTTAGGACTGGGAGGAAGGGAGGGACAGGCACCCTGGGCTAACTTCATCCCTCCGTGCCTAAATTTCCCTGATGACTATACGAGAGCCTGGACTGACAAGTCTGGGCCCTTCCCCAACCCCCACTCAAGATTTCTAACCTCAGGACTTCCCTCCCTCCAGGTGACTCCACTCTACCCTGCTCCATGAATCTGGAGCCTGGATGACAGCCGGGATTCTCACGGGCACCAAGTGGTCAGACCACCACCATCCCTGAAGCAGAATCTGCTAGACCACCACCCAGCGGCCAAGACTTCCTAACCCTCCTGGACAGACACTGAGCTCAGCCCGCGCCTCGTCTCCACGGGCCCGGGACCAGGACACGGGGAGAGTGGAAGGGGCATACCAAGCTGCTCAGCGACCCTGCTAGCCCAGCATGCATCTCAGCCACCACCCATAAGTCCAGGCAGTCAGGCACTCACCACCAGGATGCCAGCAAAAGCCCGCATGTTCCTGACCAGGTCCAGGAGCGTGTTTGCCACCACAGCCATCATCTGAGGGTGGGAGGGCAGCCCTGACTCCTCCAGCACAGAGGGTCCAGGCAGGAGGGGGCTCCGGGACCTGGGAGTCACCCACCAAACCCACATACCTGTACACACACCTGTACACATGTACACACATGCTCGGATAAGTCACACACCTGTACACACATGCTCAGATACGTCACACACCTGTACACACATACACACTTGCTCCAATACGTCACACCCTGTACACACACCTGTAAACGCATGCTCGGATATGTCACACACCCATCCACACACCTGTACACATGTATGCACATGCTCAGCTATGTCACACACCTGTACACACATACACACATGCTTGGATGGGTCACACACCCATCCACACACCTGTACACATGTACACACATGTTCAGATATGTCACACGGCTGTACACACACCTGTACGCATGTACGCACATGCTCAGATACATCACACACCCGTACACACACCTGTACACACATCCACACACACTCGGATACATCACACACCTGTACACACATTTATATACGCTCGGATACGTCACACACCTGTACACACACATATATACACACCTGTACACATGTCCATACACACTCAAATATATCACAAAGCTATATACACACTTGTATACATACCTGTACACACACCTGTACACACGTCCACACATGCTCAGATGTATCGCACCTATACTCACACTTGTACACATACCTGTACACACACCTGTTCCATGTCCACACACACTCGGATATACCTGTACACACATCCACACATACTCAATACACCACACATCTGTACACACATCCACACACTCATACACCAGACACACCAACACGTTAGTGTCAAGAGCGACACACACCTGTGTACACTTGCATAGCTGTGTGCACCTCCATCCAATCACACCCCCTCCATCAACACCCATATGCACACATCTGTATGGATGCCCACACACCTGTCCACACACATCATTACCCACATACACACCGAGCTCCTGGACACATCCCCTCACATACATTCGTGTGCTCACACCCATGCCCACACCTGCCCAGACTGGTGGGCTCCCCCAGGGTTCAATTTCAACCCCTTTGATTCTGAAGCCCAGTGTTGAGACCTCAGGCCCTCCCCACGTGCTGGCGGGTCACTGAAGAATCCATCACTGTGACCCACCCCTTCGCAGTCACGGTGACCCCCACTGACCCAGGCTCAGAGTCCTGGCTCTGTGCCTCCGCCCACTGACATGAGCAGCCCTGCGTCAGGCCAACAGCCTCCCAGAAGCTCGTGTGCTGAGAGCAGGCCGCTCTGAGGGCCCTGGCCACCCCAGGAGCAAGACCCTCCATTCACTCCAGCACCCATAGCCTCCAGGCAGGCTCTCCCATCCACAGTCGGGGGCTGGATGTCCCGCCCACCTCCCAGATCCCTGCCCCGGCTCCCAGCCTCTGGATCACGCAGCCCCCACCTTAATGTTGGGGATGATGCGCAGGAACCGGAAGACAATGAGTATGTTCACCAGCCGTGTCATATTCCACAGGGACATGGGGCCCACTGTGTGCGGCTTCCTGGGGAGACAGGGAACAGCTCACCAACTGGAAAGTTCCATAAGGCAAGGCCAGCCCTGAGCCCGCTGCCCCCAGAGGGCAAAGCCTGGCCACCCACTAGGCATTCCTCCACTGACCAGAAGGTTCCAGGGCAGGAGACACCCTCATTGTCTCCCCAACCACAACCCCGGCCTGTCTAAGCTCTCCTTTCTTCATGAGACCACATAAATTTAAACCCAAAGTATCATACAAAGCCACAACTTAGGTAAAAGTGCCATAGGTGTGGCCTTCAAAGGTCCTTTCAAAGAAGGGGCAGGCAGCCCGAGGGCACCGCTTCCCACCTGTGCCCCCCAGACCACACACTGGGCTTCTCCTCGGGTGGTAAGCTCCCAGCAGCCCTGGCCACAGAACCCTAGGGCCTGGCCTCCTTGGCTGTTCTGCCACAATTCCAAGTTCCTAAGGGAGGACCCACCCAAAGCCTGCCTAGAGATGAGACCACCTAAATACAGTCAGCAGCACCCTGGAGCCATGAAGCCTGTGGGCTCCAGGGTCAGGATGGGCGCTGGGCCCCAGCAGCATCTGAGGGGTCTACGATGCCGACCCCACGCCCATCATTTCACAGGAGGGTAAAGGGATCCCCTACAAGGGTCGGGCGGACCAAGTCACATATCTGAGCATTTCTAGCCAGAGGAGCCGTGGCGATTTCATACCATCACCCCAGACCTCAGGGAGACTCAGCGTCCGGTCAAGGACATTGTGGGGGCCCCAGGGGTGCACACTGTTCCCTGCAGACCACCTGGGACCAGCACCCCTGAGGGGCAGAACTGGCATCCCAATGCCAACCCCCAGAAGCAGGTAAGACTCCTCAAAGGGACGTCCTGAGCACCCTGGAAGGTCCTGCTGGACACCCAAGTCCTAGTGGGCAGGCCCTCCCAGGTCAGCCCCCTCTAACTGCTCGAGCATGCTGTTGAGGATCAGGGAGATCCAGCCACAAACCCGGAGCTCCCGAGACCACCTCCACAGATGCTGGCAGCCCCCCCTCAGCCTCTCGAGTCACATACCAGCCTGAGTGTGGGAAACGGTACACAGACAAGGTGGCGATCTCCAAACCCTGTCAGCAAGAAAAGGCAGCCCTCCTTAGCAACGCGGACCCGGGCTTCGGCCAGCGCGGGGCTCCACGTGTTCACTCTGCCCCCTTAGCAACGCGGACCCGGGCCTCGGCCAGCGCGGGGCTCCACGTGTTCACTCTGCCCCCTTAGCAATGCGGACCCGGGCCTCGGCCAGCGCAGGGCTCCCTCTACATGCTCACTCTGCCCAGAGGGGTCTCGGGAGACCCAGTGGGTGGGGGCTCCCTCCTAGGAGCGCAGCCAGGGGTCCAAGGTCTGGGGGCACTGGCTCTAATCAGCCAGTAACATCTCAGCTGTGACAACACCCCACCCTTGCACACCCATTGCGCTTTTACAAACTGAAGGTTTCTGCCAACCCTGCAGCAAGTCAAGGTCCTGGAGCCATTTTTCCAACAGCCAAGACCTGTCCACGGCCCCAGGAGGAATGAGTTTGGTTTCCGGACAACCCAGTGCTGAGGTGCTGGCCAGGGCTGGGCTCCCTCGGGGATCCGAGAGGCCACAGGAAGTGACTTGGGCCCGGAGGTGCTGATGCAATAGACTCCCCACAACCCCTCACTCAGACAGGAGCGCCAGAGCCCAGCCTCCCTCTCCTCCCCCTAGGGATGGTGACCCCGGCCCCGGCAGCTTTACCAACAGGACTAAGGTGAGGAAACCATCGAAGAGGTTGCTGAGGTGGGACAGGTAGCCCCACAGGCCCAGGGCGAAGATCTTGAGCAGCATCTCCACTTGGTAGTACAGGATGAAGACGGCGTTGAGGATCTGAAAGAGGGGCAAGATGGACAGGTAGGGTTAGCGCTGGGCGGCCGGGCCCCCAGACCCATCCACGGGCAGCGGAGACACTAGACACTGGGTTCTACTGGAAGGGAAACCCTTGACCCCAACATGCAGGGTCCAGGACATCAGATCATCTGGAGCGCGGGTGTGCGAGAACGGGTGTGCGGGTGTATGACATGTATGCGCAAGAGTAGGTGTGCATAGGTGTGTGTGGACATGTGTGCAGGTGTGTGCACAGGTGTGTAGGGGGTGCAGATGTGTGTACAGGTGTGTGTAGGTGTGTGTGTATATGTGTATTGCTGTGTGATGTCTCTATGCATGTATAGATCTGCATATAGGTATGTAATGTAGATACATACAAGTGTGTGAATATGTTGTGTGGTGTGTATACACACATGTGGTTGTATGTACAGCTGTGTGGAATGTGTGGTGTGTGCACAGGTATGTAGAGGAATGCAGATGTGTGTACAGGTGTGTGTAGGTGCGTGTGTATATGTGTACGGCTATATGATATCTCTGTATATATAGATCTGCATATAGGTGTGTAATGTAGATACATACAAATGTGTGGATATGTTGTGTGGTGTGTATACACACATGTGGTTGTATGTACAGCTGTATGGAATGTGTGGTGTATGCACAGGTGTGTAGAGGAATGCAGATGTGTGTACAGGTGTGTGTAGGTGCGTGTGTATATGTGTACGGCTATATGATATCTCTGTATATATAGATCTGTGTATAGGTGTGTAATGTAGATACATACAAGTGTGTGGATATGTTGTGTGGTGTGTATATACACATGTGGTTGTATGTACAGGTGTGTGTGGATGTGTGTACAGGTGTGTAATTGTACAGGTGTGTATACAGTTGTGTGGTATGCTTTATGTGTGGATGTGTGTGGATGTGTGTACAG